TGAGCACAGGAGGCGGAGGTTTGCAGTGAGCTGAGACTGCATCACTGCAGTCCAGCCTGGGCGATAGCGTGAGATTCAGTCTCAAAAGGAAAAGAAAAAAAATAATAAAATTTAAAAATATATATATATATAAAATATTATATAATTTGTATATATAATATGTATTATAAATAAGTTACATGTACCTTATGTTACTTAAAAGTTAAGAAACATGTACTTTTGCAGATATCTCCCTCCTCCCACCCTCCATGCTCCAATAGGCCTCTGTGTGTGCTGTTCCTCTCTGTGTCCATGTATTCTCAACATTTAGCTCCTACTTGTAAGTGACAAATGGGATCTAATTAACCTAAAGAGCTTCTTTCTGCACAGCAAAAGAGACTATTAACAGTGTAAATTGACAGCCTACAGAATGGGAGAAAATTTTTGCAAACTATGCATCTGGCGAAGGTCTAGTATCCAGCATCTATAAGGAACTTAAATTTGCAACAACAACAACAACAAAAAATCCATTTAAAAAGTGGGCAATGGATACAGACACACCCTTTTCAAAAGAAGACATATATGCAGCCAACAGTCATATGAAAAAAATATTTTTTTCTAAATTATATTTTCCAAATTTACAAGCGTATATGCTTTTTTTTCTTTTTTAGAATAAGGGGGAAATATTAGAAAATGCAAGACTTGGAGGGTTGGGATTTTTCACGGAAGGACAATGAGTAGGCGTCTGTCGTGGCTGGCGCTTTTCTTCTGCTAGTTGGAGGCTTTGAGAGGAAGTTTCTCTCTGTCATTCTCCTAGGGCCCTCTGGGTTGTTTCCAGTGTTCCATATTTGTAGACAATGCTGGAATTTACATCTTTGATATTGAGGGCCTTCCTCCCCCCACCATATTCTCAGTTATTTCCATAGAGCATTTCCCAGAAGCTGTATCACTGGGTCAGTAGGTATGTTTTTATCACTCAGGAGACATATTTCCAAATTGTTTCTCAGTGGGGCTATACCAACATTACCAGAAATATCTTGCCAGAACAGAGAATATAATTGTCTTTAGGGTTTGCTCGTTTCACAGGCAAACAGTGGTACCTCATTATTTTGATTTGCAATTCCAACAAGGCTGAATGCTCTTTTCCGTAAGTAGTTACTGCATTTGTTATTCCTGAATTTCGCCATTTATCTATTGGGTTTGTCATACTTTTCAGTTTGTACAAATTCTTTCCATACTAAAGAAAATAGTCCTTTTTCTGTTGTACTAGCCTAGCTATAGATATTTTCCCAAAGCTGTTGTTTCCCTTCTGGTTTAGTTTTTTTTGTTTTTTTTTTTTTTCCTTTTATATTCAAAAGCTTTAAATTGTTATGTAGTGAAGTCTGTCACTTTTGTGGGTTTAAGAAATTTCTTCCAAGTTTAGAAAATTATCCTCCCACCTCTCAAGCAGAAGCTTGATACGTGCTCAGTCTGTTTGCATCCAGGTTTTTTTTTTCCTTCAGGAGCATCCTGATTTTTTTTCTTGCCCTTTTAACTCATCAGTAATTTATCATGCCACAGGTTTGTGGGATTTAAATTCATTTCCCTCAATTTAATAAAGTTAATCATATGTCGAGTAACCTTCCTCATTTATTTTTGATTCTCCCTTAGTCATAAGCTAATTTTTTATAGGAAGGTGAGGCCCATTTCCCACCCATTTGTTCTGTTCCATCATGCATCTACTAATATCACACCTTGAAAAATGATCACTTATTTAAAATGTATCTGATAGAGCTTATCAGTTCGTTTTCATGCTAATGAAGATATACTAAAGATTGGGCAATTTACAAAAGAAAGAGGTTTACTGGATTTACAGTTCCATGTGGCTGGGAAGGCCTCACAGTGGTGGCGGAAGGTGAAAGGCCTTTCTCACATGGCAGCAGACAAGAGAAGAGAGCTCGTGTGGGGAAACTCATTTTTAAAACGATCAGATCTGAGACTTATTCACTATCATGAGAACAGCATGGGAGAGACCCGCCCTGATGATTTAATTACCTCCCACCAGGTTCTTCCCATGACGTGGGAATTGTGGGAGTTACAATTCAAGATGAGATTTGGGTGGGGACACAGAGACAAACCGTATCTTTCCATACCCTCCCAGATCTCATGTCCTCACATTTCAAAACCAGTCATGCCTTCCCAACAGTCTCCCAAAGTCTTAACTCATTTCAGCATTAACTCAAAAGTCCACAGTTGAAGTCTCATCTGAGACAAGGCAAGTCCCTCCCACCTATGAGCCAGTAACATTAAAAACAAATTACTTCTAGGTACAGCAGGGGAACAGGCATTGGGTAAATACACCTGTTCCAAATGGGAGAAATTGAACAAAACTTGCATGGGCTACAGGCCCCGTGTAAGTCTGAAATCCAGCAGAGCAGTCAAATCTTAAAGTTCCAAAATGATCTCCTTTGACTCCATGTCTCACATCCAGGTCATGCTGATGCAAGAGGTGGGCTCCCGTGGTCTTGGGCATCTCCATCCCTGTGGCTTTGCAGGATACAGCCTCCCTCCCGGCTGCTTTCATGGGCTGGCATTGAGCGTCTGCTGCTTTTCCAGGTGCACAGTGTAAGCTGTCAGTGGATCTACCATTCTCGGGTCTGGAGGACGGTGGCCCTCTTCTAATAGCTCCACTCGGCAGTGTCCCAGTGGGGATTCTGTGTGGAGGCTTCAGCCCCATATATCCCTTCTGCACTGCCCTAGCAGAGGTTCTCCGTGAGGGCCCCGCCCCTGCAGCAAACTTCTGCCAGGTCGTGCAGACATTTCCATACATCCTCTGAAATCTAGGCAGAGGTTCCCAAACAGTAATTCTTGACTTATGTGCACCTGCAGGCCCAACACCACATGAAAGCTGCCAAGGCTTTGGGCTTGCACCCTCTGAAGCCACAGCCCGAGCTGTCCATTGGCCACTTTTAGTCACAGCTGGAGCAGCTGGGACACAGGTCACCAAGTCCCTAGACTGCACACAGCATGGGGATCCTGCCAAAGCATGGGGACACAGCCAAACCATATCACAGGGCTTATTATCCTACCTCATTATGTTTTAAGCTTATTGTCTGAAATTTTCTTTTTGATTCTCACCTGTTTGAATGTAAACAAAATCTTTGATAGACTACCAAGTATTTTACATGATTTTTTTTTTCCTAAAATGGATAGGGCTTTGCAAGCCTAGAACTCATTCATTCACTGAACAAATTTATTTGTACTGTTCCTGCTTTTTGCTGGGTGTGGGAGGAGGGCACAAAGAGGAAAGATGTGGACCCTGCCACAAAGGAGTTCATGATAATGATGTTTTCTCCCTAAGAGATTCCCAAAAAGAAAAGGTGAGGAGGGAGGCTTTGTTCATCCCTGCTGGACCTCACGTTTTAAGCAATAAGTAATGTGATTTTCCTCTGCCAGGATTGCAATAGTTAAATATGAAGCCTCCCCAGCCGTGGCTTTGTTGACAGGGCCTGCAACCACAGGCCAGAACAGAAAGACTGACCTTTTCAGCTTACCCTAGGGTACTGAGTTCACCCACATCTGTTATCTGGCAAGGTTTCCCAAAGCAGGTGACTGTTATTGGCATTGTGAAGATACCCAGAGGATAACCTATGCTCAGGAATAAATGAGTTCTCAATAAAACCCAGAGAATTGTTGATAGCCTTGCAACTTGCTAGTTTGTTGCGTGCGTGTGTGTGTGTGTGTGTGTGTGTGTGTGTGTTGTCAGCAACCACATTTAGCTCTTACTTTGTAATACACACCAGCATTATCACAGGCTGTTCTCTGTTCAAGCAATGAATTTGCTAATTAAAATTGGCCGCCTTGTTAGTGACTATATAAGCTAGTGAGTGATACGATTGCCCCGGGACTTGAAGAATTGTTTTACTATGGAAATATTAAGATACTAACAAAAAGTAGAGAGTATAGTATAATGAATACCCATATACATATCACCTAGATTTAACAGTTGTTTACATTTTACCACATTTCTTCCTCTCTTTTATTGTTGTTGAAGTACTTTAAACTGTAAGTATTAAGACATTTCACTCCTAAATACTTATTCATCTAGGAAAAAAATGACATTTTCCAATGTAATGACATCATTAGAACTTCTAACAAAATTAGTAACTCCTTGATATCATCTAAAATCTAGTCTGCATTTGAATTTCCCCATTTGTCCCCCCAGAAGTCTTAAAGTTGGTCTGTCCAGAACAGGAGCTAATCATAGGCTACATATTATGGTTTACTATTTTATTTCTTAAGCTTTTAAAATCACAACAGTTCTTCGAATTTTTTGAGTGTTTCTAGTTTTCATGACATTGACTTATATAAGAGTTTTTGGAACTTTTCAGTATGGATTATGAAGTTTTCCATGGATGTGTGTATGTGTGTGTGTGTGTGTGTGTGTGTGTGTGTGTGTGATATAGCCAAATTTCATTTACCATTTTTGTATTAGTTTTTTTTTTTTTTTTTTTTTTTTTTTTAATGGACTCACTCTGTTGCCCAGGCCAGAGTGCAGCTATGCGGTCTTGGCTCACTGCAACCCTCACCTCCCAGGTTCAAGCGATTTTCCTTCCTTAGTCTTCTGAGTAGCTGGGATTATAGGCACATGCCATTACACCCAGATGATTTTTTGGTATTTTAGTAGAGATGGGGTTTCACCATGTTGGCCAGGCTGGTCTCGAACTCCTGACTTCAGGTGATCTGCCTGCCTCGACCTCCCAATGTGCTGGGATTACAGGCATGAGCCACTGCACCCGGCTGTATTAGTTTAATACATCATTATCAAAGTAGCTTCAGTACCTTAGATACTGGTTCAGATCTGACTTGCCCAGTGCTGTTTACTGGAATATACGTTCCTGTATTCATTTAATAGCAAATAAAATTCTTCTGGATTTGTACAGAATGCATTGACCTAAAAGGGATGCAAAATGAATAAAGGCTGTGAATACCAACCATGAATGAGGTTAATAAAAGCTTTAACAAATATTCTTCATACTCAGTTTGCAGAGAAATTCCAGGAGGTGAAAGAAGCCGCCAAGATAGCCAAAGACAAGACCCAGGAGAAAATCGAGACCTCAAGTAATCATTCCCAAGTAAGACACTTGTCCATACAGTAAATCCTAGTGGGGCTGGTGATGGAGTCTCTTTGTTCCTTGTCACTTCTGTCCAGAAATACGGAATTTCGACAGTAGGTCATTTTGAAGACTTTTTCGCCTATGAGCCTAATCACAGTGACATGTTTTTATGAGACTCTTGAATTTTTTAGGATGTGGTGTACTGTATTTTGGACAGAAAATCGTTGATGAGATTCGAGTTAATGTACGTCCTGGCCCTGGAGTGACATTCTGTGGTCACTGTATTTAAATGCCAGTGACGAGGGCCCATGTCTCTTGGCTGTGCCAGGAGGTGAGTTTCTATGTAGGGCACCTTGTGCCCACAAGAGAGAGACTTAATACCAGACAACCTTTGTGTTCATCTCCAGTTTTAACAGAGGTCAGGTAGGAGATGGTGTTCTAATAGCTCTGTCTTCACACAGGAGAGCTGGCTTGGCCAGGAATTGAATAGTCTGTCTAAAATGTGAGGATTGACTGAAAAGGACCTCTTTTAACCTGAAATCAACACACCTGCCTTCCTGATGTCTAGAGTAGTATATGTGGTGGGGAGGGCGTCCTGACCTAGTGTCGGGGTTATATGTAGAAAGCCAGGGAAGACTGAAGGGCAGGAATAAGTACGATGTGCTAGCAAGATGGCCAGGAGTCTGCCCGGTGTGGGCCGAGGCGTGCTGTGGGAGGAATGGGGATGTGCTTGGAGATACTGTGAAGACCGAAAATTCTTCATTCGTGGGTAGTTTATTATTTATTAGCTATTTGTTTAATTATTCTTGGGTAGTTGGTAGACATTGGAAGTGTTTTGTGACTGTTGATTTGGACTTTTCACCTGAGAGAGTAGGCTTGCTTGCAGATGGTACACAGGCTGGGAGGGACTGAGGGCAGAAAGATTGTCGAGAGGCTGTGAAGGGGAGAGTGGCTGGGCCAGGGAAGCCTGGGGAGAGGGTTGCAAATGAGGACAGGGTGTAGAAAGAGAACCAGGAGGCCTGGGCCATCTTATGCAGTCAAGGTCGATGCTGTAGACTTGACCATCAGCCTCACAGGGGCATAGCTGAAGCCTTGGGTGCACAACGAAGCAATGGAGAGAGGAGGGCAGATGCTAGAGCCCTAGGAAATGGGCCCAGTTAGGAAATGGGAGCCAGCAAAGATAGGGAGGGAGAAATTCCAGTGTCTGTGAACCCCAGGAGGGAACATACCCAACATGTCGGTGCTCAGGAGGGGAGAGAATGCGGAGAGGGACCTTGGGTTTGTGGGAGCTATGGCTGACCCTTGGGACAGGAGATTTGGTGGCTTAAGATGTTTCAAAAAGGCAAAACCTATGTCTGCCTTGAGTTATCTTCCCAATACCTTGTCCTGGCCTCCTCACATTAATATGCCCACATGGACCTATGGAAATGAATGTGAATTCCATTTCAAGTAGACAGGAACTTTCCTGAATCTTTTAAAATAATCTTTAATATGATCTAAGTGATACCATTAATTTTGTATACTAATTGAACAGTCTGTCTAAAGTGTGAGAATTGACTGAAAAGGACCTCTTTTAACCTGAAATCAATACACCCACCTTCCTGATGTCTAGATTAATATATGTGGTGGTGGGGGAATTCTTGATTAATCTCTGAGGATCTATGAAATTCAGCATGTGAAATGGTCCATAGTCTAAATAAAGTTTCTAACATATTATCTTTTTCAGAATACCACATATAACAGTGATATCTTTGAGTTTAATATCTGATCTCAAACTCCTGACCTCAGGTGATCCGCCTGCCTCAGCCTCCCAAAGTGCTGAGATTACAGGCATGAGCCACTGCACCTGGCCCTTTTGGTTTTTTTAAATTAGTAATCAAACAGTTACTTGGCTTTCTGAATCTCTTAGAATATGAACACTTTGATTACATTTTCCAAATAGGTGGATATTTAAACAGCCTAATTACAAAAACACTTAATGTGGGGCTGTTTTGTGACTATAAAAGTACTACATGTTTGTTGTATAAAGGAAAAGTTATCGTACTGTAAAGAAAATAAAAATCCACCTTCTCACCACTTGAAGATACTTTATTATGGTTTTGGTGTGTAACTTTTTTTTTTTTTTTTTTTTTTTTGAGACAGTTTCCCTCTTGTCACCCAGGCTGGAGTACAGGCACAATATCGGCTCATTGCAACCTCCGCCTCCCATGTTCAAGACATTCTCCTGCCTCAGCCTCCCGAGTAGCTGGGATTACAGGAGCCCACCACCATGCCCAGCTAATTTTTTATATTTTTAGTAGAGACGGGGTTTTACTATATTGGCCAGGCTGGTCTCAAACTCCTGACCTTAGGCCATCCACCTGCCTGGGCCTCCCAAAGTGCTAGGACTACAGGCGTGAGCCACTGCACCCAGCCTGGTGTGTATCTTTCTAACGTAGTTTTCCAGTATATATTTTACATTATACCATTTAACCTTATGATTATTCAAAACTGTTTTAATGGCTGGACAGCATTCTAGTGTTTGTATCACAGCTTATTCGGTTAATCTCCTATAATTTGGGGCATCTTATTTCTAAGTTTTCACTAATATAAATAACACTGTGATGAACATTCTTGCATATCTTTGTGCATTTGGTGGTTTCTGCATCAGTTCTTGAAATGGAGATGTTGAGTTAAAGGTATGGACGTTTTTAAGTTTTTGATGCACACCACAAACTTAGCCTGCAGAAATAATACAGTTCTAACTCCCACCTACGGTGAATAAGGCTTTTTCTTCCCACACCCTCATCAGCAAAGCTTTGTTAATTTGACAGATGAAAAGTGTATTATTTCTTTTCCTTTTTTTTTTTTTTGAGACAGAGTCTGGCTCTGTCGCCTAGGCTGGAGTGCAGTGGCATGATCTCAGCTCACTGCAGCCTCTGACACCCAGATTCAAGTGATCCTCCTGCTTCAGCTTCCCCAATAGCTGGGATTACAGGCACGTGCCACCACGCCTGACTAATTTTTGTAACTGTAGTAGAGACAGGGTTTCACCATATTGGCCAAGCTGGTCTTAAACTCTTGACCTCAAGTGATCCCCACCTACTTTGGCCTCCCAGAGTACTAGGATTATAGGCATGAGCCACTGTGCCTGGCCTTCATTTTGTTATTTCTTTTTTTTTTTTTTTGAGATGGAGTTTCGCTCTTGTTATCCAGGCTGGAGTGCAATGGCACGATCTCGGCTCACCGCATCCTCCGCCTCCTGGGTTCAGGCAATTCTCCTGCCTCAGCCTCCTGAGTAGCTGGGATTACAGGCATGCGCCACGATGCCCAGCTGATTTTTTTGTATTTTTAGTAGAGACGGGGTTTCACCATGTTGACCAGGATGGTCTCGATCTCTCGACCTCGTGATCCACCCGCCTCGGCCTCCCAAAGTGCTGGGATTACAGGCTTGAGCCACCACGCCCGGCCCATTTTGTTATTTCTTTACCAATGAGATTAAATTTTTTTTTTTTTTTTTTTTTTTTTTGAGATGGAGTTTCGCTCTTGTTACCCAGGCTGGAGTTTCGCTCTTGTTACCCAGGATGGAGTGCAATGGTGCGATCTCGGCTCACTGCAACCTCCGCCTCCTGGGTTCAAGCAATTCTCCTGCCTCAGTGTCCTGAGTAGCTGGGACTACAGGCACGCGCCACCACGCCCAGCTAATTTTTGTATTTTTAGTAGAGACGGTGTTTCACCATGTTGACCAGGATGGTCTTGACCTCTTGACCTCATGATCCACCTGCCTTGGCCTCCCAAAGTGCTGGGATTATAGGTGTGAGCCACCATGCCCGGCCTGAGATTAAATATTTTTTTATGTTTATTGATTGTATGGTTTTTTTTCTTTTGTAAATATCAATTACCTACCCCTTTTTTAAGTTAAGGTGCTCATTTTTTTGGTATTGATTTTCAAGAGCTTTATTTATTTATTTTTTTGAAACGGAGTTTCGCTCTTGTTACCCAGGCTGGAGTGCAATGGTGCGATCTCGGCTCACCGCAACCTCCACCTCCTGCATTCAGGCAATTCTCCTGCCTCAGCCTCCTGAGTAGCTGGGATTACAGGCACGCACCACCATGCCCAGCTACTTTTTTGTATTTTTAGTAGAGACAGGGTTTCACCATGTTGACCAGGATGGTCTCGATCTCTTGACCTCGTGATCCACCCGCCTCTGCCTCCCAAAGTGCTGGGATTACAGGCTTGAGCCACTGCGCCCGGCCTAAGAGCTTTATTTTTAAACACAAAAAAATTTGAACATATGCAAAGGTAGGCATAATTGTATAATGGTCTTCCTGTACCCATAGGTCTGCTTTAACAATTAGGAAATTATGGCCAGTTGTTTCATCTATCCACCTACTCCTTCCCCCTCCCCCATATTTTAAAGCAAATCCCAGATGTTTCATTTCATCCATAAATATTTGAGTGTATAGCTCTAAAAGATGAGGACTCTAAGAGCTTGTCAACATAGGAAAGATACTAACATTTCTTTTTCTGCTTTTTTTTATTTTGAGACAAAGTTTCGCTCTTGTTGCCCAGGCTGGAGTGCAGTGGCATGATCTCGGCTCACTGCAACCTCCGCCTCCCGAGTTCAAGCGATTCTCTTGCTTCAGCCTCCTGTGTAGCTCGGATTACAGGCATGTGCCACCAGGCCCTGTTAATTTTGTGTTTTTAGTAGAGACGAGGTTTCCCCACCTTAGTCAGCCTGGTCTTGAACTCCTGACCTCAGGCAGTCTGCCTGCCTCAGGCTTCCATAGTGCTGGGATTATAGGCGTGAGCCACCGCGCCTGGCCGACTTTCGTTTTTCATATGTGCTGCTGCATATATTTCCCCCAGGTTTTTGTTTTATTTTAATTTTGCTTATGGCATTTTTTTTTTGAAATTCAGAAATAGAAACTTGGATTTATACACCACTCTCCGCTAGTTTCCTCCTTTGCCCGCGTGCTTATTGGAAGCTAAGTAAGATCTTTCTAAGGTCTTCTATAGCACCAGATGAGATTTCACCTCTCCGTTGTGTGACTTACAGAAAAACCCTTCAGCATATTCGTAGCAACAGTCAGTAGTGAGGGAGCTGGGAAACATCAGGACCTGGTTCTTATTTCTTCAATGAATGTGTTGATCTAACACTCCATAGCCCCAGGATCTTTAAGTGGTCTCTGTTTCTAGTATGTACTTTTTCTCTGTCCTCATTCGCTATTCCTCATTCCTTGTTTCTAACATCCCTCTTTCCTTATGGCTTCTGTCCTGTGTATTTCAGGAGACCAGGTCTCCAAGTTTGGTAGGTTTCTCCATAAGGCCTAAGTAAAAAAAGCTCAGAGCACTGGCCCAGGTATTTTTCAGTAAAGTGCACAGACTTTATGAGCTTCACATGGTCTCTTCAGTGCCTTTTCCTTTGTTCTTGATAGTCTTTGTTAGGTTTTTTTTTTTTTTTTTAATCTGTTAGCCTTTGCTACATTCTAGTTGGATGAGTTGGTTCGTCCACACCCATAAACACACAGTTTCTTATTATGCTTGACTTGCTGCTGATGTGTGGACAAGCAATAACGTGTGAAGATAATTCACTTTGGCCAGGAATCTGGGCGTGAAACCCTATCTTCTACTCAGGCATCCAGTGTCAACGGGACAGACGATGAAAAGGCCTCTCATGCTGGTCCAGTCGACACGCACCTGAGGTCTGAGAATGACAAGCTGAAGATTGCCTTGACGCAGAGGTAAGGCTGTTTTGAAGTCCAGACCCTATTTTCTCCACCTTGAGCACTTCCCTAGAAGCCTCTCTTGCTGGACAGGGTTTCAGGAAATTGGGAGAGAAAACTGGAACCTGCTTGGAGCATCCACTCTGGTCTCCTGGTGAAAGGAAGGCCAGCTGGCTTCCTGGCCCTACTCTGGCCAACCACATCAACATCCATTTGTGTGTGAGTGTGTGTGAGAGAGAGAGTGTGTGGGTGTATGTGTGTGTGATTGTGAGTATGTAAATGGAGAGAGGGTGAATGTGCGTGAGTGTGTTAGTGTCGGAGTGTGTGTGTTAGAATGTATGTGATTGAGTGTACATGTGTGGAGAGAGGGTAACTGTGTGCCTGTGTGTGTGTTACACACCCCTGCGCCTGTGCTTCGTTTTGTTTTTGGGGAGCCAAATTTATCATTTATAACGTGGACTCTTGGCCGGGCATGGCTTCTCCCACCTGTAATCCCAACACTTTGGGAGGCTGAGGCGGGCAGATCACTTGAGCCTAGGAGATCGAGACCAGACTGGGTAACATGACAAAACCCTGTCTAGAAAAAAGTATTTTAGACTTGGCACAGTGGCTCACGCCTGTAATCCCAGCACTTTGGGAGGCCAAGGTAGGCGGATCATGAGGTCAAGAGATCGAGACCATCCTGGCCAAGATGGTGAAACCTTGTCTCTACTAAAAATACAAAAATTAGCTGGGCATGGTGGCACATTCCTGTGGTCCCAGCTACTCGGGAGGCTGAGGTGGAAAAATTGCTTGAACCCAGGAGGCGGAGGTTGCAGTGAGCCAAGATTGTGCCGTTGCAGTCCAGCCTGGGTGACAGAACAAGACTCCTTCCCAAAAAAAGAAAAACGTATTTTAAAAACTAGCCAGCCATGGTGGTGTTTACGTGTAGTCCCAGCTACTCTGGAGGCTCAGGTGGGAGGATTGCTTGAGCCTGGGAGATGGCAGAAGTTGCAGTGGGCTGAGATTGCACACTGCACTCCAGCCTGGATGACAGAGTGAGACTCTTGTCTCAAAAAAAAAGATTGAATTTTGAACATCTGAGAAATGCATGTGAAAACATAAACTATTAAAAATATGAAATCACACAAAATTCAGTCACTTTCCTATATACAAAAAAGCCACATAGAATATATATTTGAAGAAGAGATCCTTTACAATATGAACTAGAACCATAAACTACACAGGAATAAACTTAAATTTGCAAGATCTATGTGAGGCAAGCTTTAAAATGATTTCGAGGCTTATAAAAAGAAGTGTTTAACAAATAGACATTCTGTTGGAAAGTGGCAAAAAGCCTTGATATTTTAAAAGGATCAGTTTCTCCTAAATTGACCTATAAATGTAACATAGTCCCCATAATGGTATCGATACGATTTTAATTTACTGTGTGAACGGTGCTTGCAATTTTGTATCTTGAGAATGTGGTGCATTTCCCAAAGGCTGGGCTTCATGGTGTAGGCTGGTCCCATGAGCACACTCAGGGCTTTCTGCTCACCTGGCCAGGGGTAGGGGGTTCGGTAGGCTTTCCCCAGTCTCCCTCAGACTGAGAAGTCCTCCTCCTCAGAGTTGCCCATTTAAGAGCTGTACTGGCCAGGTATTGGTGGCACACACCTGTAATCCCAATGCTTTGGGAGGCTGAGGTGGGTGGATCCCTTGAGGTTAGGAGTTTGAGACCAGCCAGGTAACGTGGTGAAACCCTGTCTCTACTAAAAATACAAAAATGAGTTGTGCATGGTGGCACATGCCTGTATTCCTAGCTACTCAGGAGGCTGAGGCAGGAGAATAACTTGAACCTGGGAGGTGGAGGTTGCAGTGAGCCAAGATTGCAACACTGCACTCCAACCTGGACGACAGAGCAAGACTCCGTCTCAAAAACAAAAACTGTATCATCATCTTGGAAGCTGTCTTGGCTCAGGCTGCTATAACAAAATACCATGAACTGGGTGGCTTAAATAACAAACCTTTGTTTCTTACAGCTCAGGAGGTCAGAAAGTCCAAAATGAAGGCACTGGTAGATTTGGTGCCTGGTGAGGGTCTGGTTCATAGACCAGAGTCTCCTCACTGTGTCCTCATAGGTGGGGACAGGAGGCAAGCTCTCTGGGGACGCTTGTAAAGACATGGATCCCATTCATAAGGACTCTGCCCTTATGACCTCACCTAATCCTAGTTCTCTCTCAACACTCCCACCCCCCGCTTCCTGAGACCATCACATTAGGGGTAGGGTTTCAACATACAAATTTGGGGAGGTCTCAAGCATTCGGCCCGTAAGAGAAGCTGTCATTTTGAAACTCCCCCCATTTTACAGATGAGGAAACTAAATTCCAAGCGATAAAGTGACTCTTTGCCCAAGGTCACATGGCTAGTAAACTTTCTGTCACCTCACACTGCCTGTGTTCCACTCAAGGCTGCGGTCACAGTCTCTTCAGGAGCCTACCAGAGGCAGCCTGTCATATTCCACAGCTAGCCCTGCCACAGGGTTGGCGCCCACCCCTCCAACTGCACTGGCCCAGCTGTGATCTGACCTAGGAATTCCAGAAAGCACGTGTGACCCTTAGATCCAGCCGCCTGCCTTTGGACTGTGGCTCTTTGTCAGGTACTTCAAAGGACAGAACTGTGACCAGTCACTTTTCTTACCCATCAGGCAAGTGTGAGAGCTTTTATTTTTTGAGGCAGAGTCTCTCTCTGTCACCCCAGCTGTAGTGCAGTGGTGCAATCATAGCTTACTGCAGCCTTGAACTCCTGGGCTCAAGCGATCCCCTGCCTCAGCCTCCCAAATAGCTGGAACTACAGGTGCATGCTACCGTGCTGGCTCATTTTGATTTTGGTTTTGTAGAGACGAGGTCTTGCTATGTTGCCCAGGCTGGTCTCAGACTCCTGGGGTTATCAAGTGATCCTCCATTCTTGGCCTCCCAGAGTGCCAAGATTATAGGCGTGAGCCACCACACCCAACCGAGAGCTGTTTTTGGTCGTTTAAGGCACAGTGGGCGGCCTGGGTGAAAATGTTTCACCCCTAAAAATAAATGTTTTCAAATCCAAGTTTAATGAAAAAGTGAGGTACAGGAGTGGGCATGAAGCTATTTCCCTAAATTAGTTTAAATTCTCAGTGATCGGCTGGGCGAGGTGGCTCACGCCTGTAATCCCAGCACTTTGGGAGGCTGAGGTGAGTGGATCACCTGAGGTCAGGTGTTCGAGACCAGCCTGACCAACCTGATGAAACCCTGTCTCTACTAAAAATACAAAATTAGCTGGGCGTGGTGGTGCACGCCTGTAATCCCAGCTACTCAGGAGGCTGAGGCAGGAGAATCGCTTGAACCTGGGAGGCGGAGGTTCCAGGGAGCTAAGATTGTGCCACTGCACTCACTCCAGCCTGGGCAACAAGAGCAAAACTCCATCTCAAAAAAGTAAAAGAAAATAAAATCTCAGTCATCAACTCTAGAATTCACCAGATAATAACATTTTATTATTTCCTCAGTCAGTGGGGTTTGAAAGTGAAAGTACATATTTTCCAAGTCCTTGGGTCCTTGAGGGTGTGGAATAAAAGATAACACAGATCTATTCGGACACACCATTGTATTTACTTAAAAAAATTATGAAGGGCCTTTAGAAAGAGGACTGTCAGCCTGGCAGAAGCCTCCCCGTGGGCTTGTCACGTGCAGCTCTGCCCTGTCACCTCCAGTCACATTCAGCGCCACAGATGTGTGGGATCCTAGCAAGGAAACTGAAGGAGAGTCAGAAGAGAACAGTGAGGAGAACCTGATTTCAGCTTGGTTTTGTTTTAAATGTCCTCCTCACCAAGCACGTAGAATCAGATGAAGCGTGAGGACTTTGTGTTGACAGCAGAGGTGTCCTTTAGATACCTGGTCTCCTCACACTTCCGAGGGGACATGGGCCAGCCAGGACTCCCTCCAGAACCCGGGCAGGGCACTGATTCCTGTCTCCAAACCCTAGGCTCTCAGATCTGGATTCCTTTAAAGGCTCTGAGGAGACACAGGTTACAGTGGGGCCATTATTGCCCTGAGCCAAGCTGTTGGCTTCTTGCCTATTTAAACCCAGCATCCTGGAGGTATCCGTGGCTTTCATACAGTTCTCGAAGGGAAGGGCCCCTGGTCCACCCCTGCGACTCCTTTCAGGAGGGAGCAGGGCAACCAGGAAGGAAGGGGTGGGCCTTGCCTGCGTTGCAGCGCTCATGCCTAGCTTTGTCTCTTCATTCGTGAAGAATTGTGTTCTCTTCTTTTTCCTTGAGACGGAGTCTTGCTCTGTCACCAGGCTGGAGTGCAGTGGTATGATCTCGGCTCACTGCAACTTCCACCTCCCAGGTTCAAGTGATTCGCCTGCCTCAGCCTCCTGAGTAGCTGGGACTACAGTTGCACGCCACCACACCCAGCTAATTTTTTTGTATTTTTAGTAGAGACAGAGTTTCACCATATTGGTCAGGATGGTCTTGATCTCTTGACCTCATGATCCGCCTGCCTCGGCCCCCCAAAGTGCTGGGATTACAGGTGTGAGCCACCACGCCCGGCCCAAGAACTGTGTTCTCTTCTAAAGTGATTCTTTAAGAAAACAGACTGCAGGGTGACACATTCACCAGAGAGGGGCCAGTCCCTCCTGGCCCTGTCTCAGTGCAGCCGGACCCACCTGCCAGCCCACTGTGGGGAGAGGGCCTGTGGGCCCCCAGGGGTGTGCTTAAGGGTGGTAGAGTCTCCTTCCCTGGCTGGGCAGAGGCGCAGGCAGATGGGACGGCACCCACCTGTCATCACCGCCCGTCCCCGTCCCGCAGCGCTGCCAATGTAAAGAAGTGGGAGATTGAGCTGCAGACCCTGCGGGAGAGCAACGCCCGCCTGACCACGGCGCTGCAGGAGTCGGCGGCCAGCGTGGAGCAGTGGAAGAGGCAGTTCTCCGCCTGCCGCGACGAGAACGACCGGCTCCGCAACAAGGTGGGCACCCACGACCCTTTTTCTCCACCCCCGACTTTGCCCTCATCCCTGTGCCCAGGCAGGAACGTCCCTCCTCCTCCCTGCCTGCCTTAGGAGTTTAACCACGTACACAACTCACAACTGACTTGTTACCTTTTCTTTCTTTTTCTTTTTTTCTTTTTGAGGAGTCTTGCTCTGTCTCCTAGGCTGGATATAGTGGCATGATCTTAGCTCACTGCAGCCTTCATCTCCCGGGTTCAGGCGGTTCTCCTGCCTCAGCCTCCCAAGTAGCTGGGATTACAGGCGCCCACCACCACACCTTGCTAATTTTTGTGTTTTTAGTAGAGATGGCTTTCACCATGTTGTCCAGGCTGGTCTCAAACTCCTGGCCTCAGGGGATCTGCCCGCCTCAGCCTCCCAAAGGCTGGAATAACAGGCACGAGCCACCACACCTGGCCAGACCCGTCACCTTTTCTGACCCAAGTTTTATAATTCCTCCTGCTGAGGAGAAGACAGACTGGAGGTGTCAGCCTTGTCCCTCTCAGAGTGGCATGTCTGGGGTTCAGTGACCCTCTGTGGAGGAAGGGGACCCAGAGAGAAGGTGAGAAACAGACTCGGGACGTGAGCTGCGCCTGCTTGGAAGCCCTGCTTCCATTCACATTATTATTTCTAAACATGTCACTTTGGAGGTGAGAAAAAGATGATGGTACTTGAGGCGTGAGGAAGGCAGGCAGCTGCTGGCCTGTCGTACACCCGCTGCTCTCCACCCTTGACATCCTGGGATTTTGATTTGTTTGAAAATGAACCTGTAACCTCCCCTGTCATTAGTCACACTCCAGCTGGTTCATAAGGTGCTTTTGGGATGGCCAGAGACTCCCCCACTGAGGTCTTGAGGTTTCTCTGCTAATCTCGTTTTGATGGTGGTTAGTTCTCCCGCTATGAACACACAGGCTTTGGAGTATGCTCCGTCAGTGCAGGGTTTTGGGGGACAGGTCCCATTTAGATTGGTGTTCACTCCCCCTTGATCCCTGTTTCTGCCCTGCCCAACTCAGAGGGCCCCTGCATCCCAGCCCTCTGTCACACTGTCTTACTTCCGTGCTAATGCCACATAAAACTGTCTTGTGTGATTTTTTTCATCTCGGTGCTGAAAGTGCTGACAGTCGGGCACCAGGCCAATTGCTGACTTTGCACGTTCCCACCGAGGCCTGGCAGATCTGCCTGCCAGAGGGATCGACTGCCCTTTCTTGCATTTTCAAGAAAAGAGCTGAGTTTCTCCTGTCGATCTGGGTCCGATAGCCAGCAGCAGTGCGGGGGGAGTAGAGGAAGAGCATCACGCACAGCTCGCTCCCTTGGAGGAGTGTCACCCTCCCTGGGTGGGACATGTCTCGAGCTTGCCTCCCAGTGCTGGAGGTGGAAGTTGGTGTGGTCTCCAGCGGCTGTGGTGGCTGGGAGTTCAGACTCCAGGGCTCGGTGCAGGATGCCTCTGGGAAGTGTCCTCGGTGCCCTTCACGTCAAGGACTGCTGCTGCCCGTTCAGGGGGGCGTCATCACTACAGTGCTTTTGTGGTGAATGTGGGGTCCCCGTCTGCTGTTCACTCTGCACACACATTTTGGCCCCAGCATCCGACAGCAGTGTGACAGTGTCAGGCCTTTGCATCCCTGTTCCACACAGGTAACCCTTTTTGAGGGGTCAGCCTTGGGAAGGAAGGAAAAATGCCATCTAGGGATTTGCCATTCAGCCTCCGAGAAGAGGCCCACAGGCCAGCCCCTTCCGCCTGCATCCACAGGGAAGGCCACCTTGATTTATAATGTTTGAAATGTCATTGCTTCCCTTTTTGACAGCCACTGCCCCATGAGGTTGCTTGGTTTTCTACCCTGCTGGCTTAAACCCTTGAGATGAAACAGAATAATGCAGGACATGACAATAATGGTGTAAAGATCATTCTGGAGAAAAGCAGATCAATCCAGGGGACGCCTGTCCCTTGCTTGTGATGCTCCTAAAGCAAATCTGAATCTAATTCTTCGTGGCCATGAGAGGAAACCAAAAGCCCAGGGCATCTAGAAGGCAGGTTTTATGACATTTGGCTCTGCTGGAAAGATGCCTAAGGCATCATGTGCAGAGCAGGTCCCTGCAAGCGGGGCAGACAGCCCCATGGTGGATGTGTGGGGTTTGTTCATAGCCACAAAGAAAAACTTACAAATGGATGAGTTTAGGGTTTGTTTTTAAAGGAAAACATAAGCGTAGCTGTGGTGATCTCTTCCTTAATGACTGACATAAGCCGTCACCCTTGCTTTCCTGTGTGGTGTTTATTGAAGATTGATGAGCTGGAAGAACAATGCAGTGAGATCAACAGAGAGAAGGAGAAGAACACGCAGCTGAAGAGGAGGATCGAGGAGCTGGAGGCAGAGCTCCGAGAAAAGGAGACAGTGAGTAACGGTGCTCTGAGCAGGGCCCCTCCGCATCCTCTGGGCCTTGCAGGGTGGCACACAGCAGGTGTCTTGGGGCACATGACCAGCCCTGGCAGCTGCCTGCATAGCAGTGCAGAGAGATAGCTGGGAGCCACACCAAGGGGCAGACAGGCCGGAGCAAAGGCCTCCCCATGACCTCTGCCACCTCCCCACTAGCCCTGTTCTGCAGCCAATCATGCAGATCCACAAGGGAGCTGAACATTTCACAGGACAGACATGTTTGGTATCTGTCCTCAGAAGTTGAGTTTTGCTGCCAAATTAATGCCACTAGAGACCCATCATGTAATCACTTATTTTCTTTTTAAAACATTTTTTGGCTGGGCGCAGTGGCTCACGCCTGTAATCCCAGCACTCTGGGAGGCCGAGGCGGGTGGATCACGAGGTCAAGAGATCGAGACCATCCTGGTCAACATGGTGAAAACCGCATCTCTACTAAAAATACAAAAAAATAGCTGGGCATGGTGGCACATGCCTGTAATCCCAGCTACTCAGGAGGCTGAGGCAGGAGAATTGCCTGAACCCAGGAGGCGGAGGTTGTGGTGAGCCGAGATCACGCCATTGCACTCCAGCCTGGGCAACAAGAGCGAAACTTCGTCTCAAAAAAAAAAAAAAATTAATGTATTTATTTTATTTAAGATGGTGTCTCATTGTATTGCCCAGGCTGGTCTTGAACTGGGCTCAAGTGATCCTCCCACCTCAGCTTCCTGTGTAGCTGGACTGTAGACGCATGCCACCATGCCTCGCCTAGAGTCATTTGTTTTCTAGGGGGCAGACAGTTAAGTGCGCACATGTTGGAGGTCGTGGGTATGTTACCAAACTCTGCAGGCCTCACTTTCTCCACTCATGAAACAGGAATTGGAAAAACATCTGCCTTGTCGTGGTGTGTACAGACTTCATGTGACAAAGCGTGTGACACACTTCACCCTTGGAATTCCGTGAGATGAAGTGTTCCCACAGTCGCTGTCATTGTCTCTGCAAACACGACAGGTTCCCAAAGCTCCTTTCACGAGTGTGCACACGTTGGTGATTTTCAAGAATATATTTTATCTGACTTGCTTTTATGTTCTGTCTCAAATTTTTTTCCTGTAGGAGCTGAAAGATCTCCGAAAACAAAGTGAAATCATACCTCAGCTCATGTCAGAATGCGAATATGTCTCTGAGAAGCTGGAGGTACGTGGGTGGGGGGCACAGCCATCCTGGCTCAGCCAAGAAGCCACAAATGTCATGGGACTCATTTGCCCACCTCCCCTCACTTTCACACCGAGAATGGTAAAGGAGAGATTTGCTGTTCACAAAAAGCTGGCGGTAACTGCATACCAGGTGGCAATGCATCCACCCCTGCCCCCGGGGCAGACTTGGCAGCACTGGACTTTTGGCTTTTCCAGTTCTACGAAGGTTTCTGTGCATCACCGTGGCGTAGTTGACTGTTTCCTTGCAGAACCCGGGCGGGGGTGAGGAGCAGGGAGGGGGTGGCCTGAGAGCCCAGGGTCAGGGTGTGGGGCCACCGCAGTCACTCCCCTGCCAGTGACCTTGGGCCCTGACCTTGGGCAGGCCTTCCTCTCTAGCCTCAGATTTCTGATTCCTAAAAGGAGGATTTTCAGATCCTCCTCCACCTCAGAGAGTCTCCTCCCTGCAGGCCCTCTGAAATACACACGGTGCTTCGTGTAATTAACAACCCCGGGATCGGTAACTGGTTCCTGTGCACATGTTCAGAAAAGTCTCCATGTATGCCCTCAACATAAAGCTCTTATTTGATATGAAGAGTGCAAAACTTACGGCTCATTTAAAGATTCACAGCTGCCTCGTCTTTGAGAACCTGTGTGTGATTTACCTAGATGTGGCTCTACAGGCTTGTGGGGCCCAGAGCCACAGAACGTCTCCATGGTAACAGCATCAGAGGGTGCACAGACTGGCTGTCTCTGAGTCACTGGCACGGCCAGTCCTTCCTGGCTGAGGGCCAGAGGCCGGCCTGGGGCTGAGGAGGCCACGCCTCAGTGGGACCAGGGTAACAAGCCACTCTCCCATCTGTTCTGTCTCTGTCTCTCAGGATGGAACTGAAATGTGGTCTCTGCTAGCCACTCGGATGGGGATTTCAGACTTTCCCTGCTGCATTCTGCCTGCTTTGTTGGGTGTTGGGTTTTCGGGCCAGGTGTTGGCCCCTCTGCAGGAGAACAGACAGGAAAGGAGGAGGTCACTGAAGTGCCTGCCGCTTCCCTTCTGATGTCGTAGTCATAGGCTTGTGTGCCGGCGGCTTGGCGTGCTCTGGGGAACTTAGGCTCTGGCCCAGGCCCTCGGGTGGGATGGAGAACGTTTGTTTCAGCTGCAGCAGGGTTTGAAGGACGACTCTCATCACTCCGTTTTCCAGACCCCTCTCCCTTTTGCTTTGCCAGGCGGCAGAGAGAGACAATCAAAACCTGGAAGACAAAGTGCGTTCCCTGAAGACAGACATTGAGGAGAGCAGATGCCGACAGCGCCACCTGAAGGCGGAGTTGAGGAGCTTCCTGGAGGTGCTGGACGGGAAGATCGACGGCCTGCACGACTTCCGCCGAGGCCTCTCCAAGCTGGGCACCGACCACTAGGCCGGCCGAGGCCGGGCCCCGCCCGTGAGTCCCACGCGTGTGCGCGAGACCCGATAGCGCTAGGACGTTCTCCTGCGTGCGTTGCTTCTGTAAATGCAGGCACAGTTTGTCGTGTTTCCAAACCAGTTGTGCCGTCCACTCGCTCCTTTCCAGGATAGAAATCTCCTCTCACTTCTCTGGCCTTGTGAGGTTGTGGACAACTGGAAGGTTCTGACTCAGGAATCCAGAACTAGGTCTACCTTAAACATTTACGCAGTCAGGGCAGGGATGTTCATACCTTTCATAAGGGCTGTTGCAACCACAGGAACTGATAAAACGCATTTTCTAATCCAAATACTGATATTCTTGACACCAGGCCATCAGCCTCCTTTTCTCGAATAGCATTCAGAGTATTTGAATGTCCACCAGGCAGCAGCCCCCGGGGGCACAGAGAGAACAACATTCCCCTCCATCAACATCGAGAGGCTTTGAAAATACTGTTTAGTGGAGGTTTATTGAGAGATGGAAAACAAGCTCCAGGCGGGTGCGTTTTCTGGCCTGGGAATCGCCTGCATCCGCAATACTGGCCCCTGCCCCCAGTTTGTATGGTTGCAACAGTGTTCCTTTTCTTGGTTTTAATTTCTGAGCAGATGATTGTGCTGTGCGAACAGCACACAGTGAGGGTGCCTCGCATAATGCCTGGCACAGAGTAGGTGCTTAATAAATATTTGTTCAATTAAACATGTACACAGAATTTAGTGTTTTAATCGAACCCCACAGCACAGCTGGGACGCTGTTGAATGATGCACCATCTTTGCTGTGCTGGGTTATCAGACATGAGTGACACTGTGTGGTCAAACCCAAGCTGGGGCTCGGGTGGCCCTGGGGCAGGGAGGGAGAAGGGGAAGCAGCAGGAGCTGGTCTGAGGTCTCCTGGAGCCCATCCGTGATGCTCTGCCCTGGGGCTCTCCGACCCTCGAATCGCCTTTTCCCCCAGGGACGGGGGCTGTGGCCTGGGGATTCCAGGTATAAGGGCTGCCCAGGGCTTGGGATCTAGGGTGAGATTCTCTTATGGGTCTGGACAATTGAAAACGAATCGCAGGCAATCGCAGGGAGAGCCTCTCAGCCAATAAGCCTCAGCCCTCGTGACCGAGGTTTCTACCCAGCTCTGCCTCCCGCCTTTCCCAGCTTCTCCTAGGGAAGGGACCGCAGCCATAAAACTCCCTCTCTGATAGAGCTGCTCAGTGGGGCCAGCGGGCCCATGGGTGCTGTTGACGTCCTGCTCTAGGAGGTCACCCGTGTGTGGCAAGGTGTTCTGAATCCCTGGCCCCACAGATCCCTAAATGCCTTGGGCAGGGGGGAGGCTTTGGTGACCCCTTACCCCTTTGAGAACCACCTAAGAGAACTACTTCCTCTAGAAACCTTCTCCCGTGGACACGGTTTCTCCCTGCTGAATTTGGATTAATGAGCAAACAACCTGAGGAGGGAGGGAGATGGGGTCCGCTCGCAGGTGCCCTGGGCCCCCAGCTGAATGCATGAGTCCTCCTGCTCTCCTTCCCTTCCCCTCAGTGAGAGCCTCTCTGAGCAGGAGAGTCTAGTGTGGGATTCGGATAGAAGGGAAGGCCGGGGACCTGGGGCACCAAGGCACTTTAGAGGGGCCCCTGCAGGGTGAGTGGGAGCTTTGGTTGAGTACACAGGAAGTGGAAAGCGTGGCCAGACCTCTTTGTGATTCGGCCTAGGCTGCTGCTGGCCCTGCCCTTTCCCCAGAGTTCCAGATGGCTCTCAGGACAGTTGGTAGCAGCTCCCTACTGGCTGCACCAGGAGACCAGAGAGGAGAGCTGGCTATGAGTCAGGCTCCTGGGCCAGCAGCGGGGTGGGGATTCTCAAGCCAGTCTGGTCCACCCAGCAGCAGGCTGGGTGTGTGGCTGCCTGGGAGCAGTGGACACTGGGTTCCAAACACCCCCCACTCGGGTCTTCAGATGACCTCTGTCTCTGTGTATCAGGTGACTTAAGAATTTAGGAAGAGCCCTCTTGACTGACAGGAGCATGCTTAGGTGGCATATGCATAGCATAGTTACTAAAGCCACTCGTGATTCTGCTAGCAGTGACTTTAGAAAACTCCGGAAGTGGAGGTGCAGAAAAGGTTGGAAGAGCCATTTCCACAGTGGGCGGCTGTGCAGTCGAGACCCGTGATCCCAGCTCACCAACCGCTGAGGAGTGTGGGGAGCCTCCTGGGGGCAGCAGGCGAGGAACTTGATTCCTCCTGCTGTGTGTCCCGCTCTACAGTTGTTGCAGCCCCAGAGCTAAGAATAGTAGGGACCCCTTTAAAGGGAAAGGTAAGTTGGGCTTGCCTGTGGAAGCAGAACAGCTTTTACAGAGCACCGAACTTCCCATTCCTTCTGCTTTTCTCTAAAGATCTTAGTGTCTCTTCATTTACTTTCTTTTATAAATTAATGGCCCTGGAGCAACCTGGACAGTGTCCCCTTGAGCTGGTGTGACGTGCCCTCGTTTATTCTGGGCAGTCTGAGTGCCGTTGTCAGTACTTAGTTTATTCTGAGACTGGGCGGTTGTCAGTTGTCAGCCCTCGTTTATTCTGAGACTGGGCAGTTGTCAGCCCTACTCAGTTGTCAGCCCGCGTTTCTTCTGAGACTGGGCAGTCTCAGTACCGTTGTCCTAACCTTACACCAGACGCTGGCGGAATGTGAGCTGCTCACTCATGAGCATCCACCACAGCTGCCTGTGCTCCTGGAAGGTGCAGGGCCAGGTCTGCACTTTAGTTTGCAAATGAGGTCTCCTGATTTTGGCATTTCCAAGACTGGCTGCTGTACCTTGATAAGCTTTCGTTCTGCCTCCATGAAACCTGGTGTCTAAAAGAGGTCAACTAAAACTTGGAACCCTTTAACCAAGAGGATCTTTAAAAATAACTTGTCATTCCAGTCAAGACCCAACTGGATGCGTTTTAAAGTTGGGGGTGGCGAGGAAGCCTCCCTAGTGCCGCCTGGGGATTGTAAAACCACCAGAGCGACCGGTTGGGACAATGTGGTCAGGCCTTGGAAGAAAAGGACCAGTATCCACACAAGACATCAAATTCCTGTGGCTCCTCAGTCTCATCTCTCCTGCCTGCCATCACATTAGACTTCAATTGGGTGAGAGAACAGAGCAGAGGCTGTCCCCTTGTTTTGCAGATGAGAAGTAGAGACAGAGAAAGTGACATGCCCAGGGTCACCCCACAGTGACCAGCAGCGTGGACTTTGCATCCAGGTCTCCTGGACCTTAGCACAGTGTCTTTTGAGCCATGCCACTCTTGTCCCTTTGGTGACCCATGAATGCCAAGAGAAAATAATTCTCTTATATCCTGTTAAGAGCACATTGCAATTAAATTATTTTAATATGTGTCCACAGCAGAGGACAGTTTACAAAGGTATGAATCAGAATGACATTTAGGAATGTTTGTTATAAACGATAACAAAGTTCCACTTTGAAACGATTCTGGTTTTGCAGGAATCTTTCCAAGAAAGTTGGTTAAAGTGGTGTCCATACCTGTGAGGCCAGTTCTATAGAAAACAAGCACACCCCAAGGTCTTTATTGATGGCTTCAGTGGAGGCAAAACAAGAGGGAGACCCTGAGATCGCAGGAATGGAAACAGAACAGAGTTCTAGCTGGGGGCGGCCTGTCCACTGCCTGCCCCTTCCCGGAGATGCACTCCTTTCTGGCTTTCCAGGGAGGGAGCAGCCTTGCGCAGTGGTGGAAGCAGTGTGAATGGGACCTGATCAACACCCAGGAAGACTGTCTCCAGCCTGCGGGCTCCGTGAGCACAGTCTTCATGGTGGTGGTGGGCAGGCGGCGCCTGCCTGCTGGGGACAGCATTTGATGCAAAACATCAAGTAAAGGGTGGAGCATTATACAGTGAATGTGCCTCCCAGAACCATCATGATCTGCCTGTTTTTTGTTTTTGTTTTTTTGAGATGGAGTTTCGCTCTTGTGGCCCAGGCTGGGGTGCAGTGGTGCGATCTCGGCTCACCTCAACTTCCGCCTCCCAGGTTCAAGTGATTCTCCTGCCTCAGCCTCCCAAGTAGCTGGGGTCACAGGAGTGCATCATAATGCCCAGTTAATTTTGTATTTTTAGTAGAGACGGAGTTTCTCTATGTTGGTCCGGCTGGTCTCGAACTCCCGACCTCAGGTAATCTACCTGCCTCAGCCTCCCAAAGTACAGGCGTGAGCCATTGCACCAGCCATGATCTGCCTATTTCAACAGGGCTCTTTTTCTTTAGAAAAGTCTCCTTCTCTATAGAAACCAGGGACAATTTTGGATGAGAGCCAACCACAGGATGTGCTGGGGACCTTATCATGAGACCTCACATGTGGCCAGGTGCACCTCTGGGAGGAAGGCAGCCGTGATGTGACTTAGCACAGGCACTCGCAGGGAGGGAGCCAGGGCCGGGCGCGGTGGCTCACACTTGTAATCCCAGCACTTTGGAAGGTCAAGGCAGGCGGATCATGAGGTCAGGAGTTTGAGACCAGCCTGGCCAACATAGTGAAACCTCTTCTCTACTAAAAAAAAAATCCAAAAATTAGCTGGGGGCAGTAGTGAGCGCCTATAATCCCAATTACTCAGGAGGCTGAGGCAGGAGAATCACTTGAACCTGGGAGGCGGAGGTTGCAGTGAGCTGAGATGGTGACACTGCACTCCAGCCTGGGCAACACAGCTAGACTCCACCTCAAAAAAAAAAAAATAGGGAGCCAGCCGCTGGTCTTTGCTGATATCCAGAAGTGGATTGTTTGTTCCATTTATCTTTCTAGAAGTTAAATTATTTTATTGCCTTGTCACTAGATTTTGAAGCACTTGCAAACTAGAAGCTTGCAGGATCAATGTCCATATATATTTTTAAATGATGTGCATGGTTTAAAAGAACCCTAATTTCTGAGTACATGGCTTCCCCAAAGAAACAGTATATATTTTGGAGATGGTGGGAGTTTTGGCATAGAGAGGGATTCCTGTCTAGTCTAGAAATATGTGTTACTTACATGTCTCTTTCATGCAACTGTCTCAAGAATATGGGTTTTCTAGTTTGCCTTTAAACACTACTCAGGCAGGAAGGTGGCTTTGGTAAGAATTTTGAGATGGATGAAATGTTCTAGTGAACTTAGGACTGGGTGCATGTGTGGGCATGCGCGTGTGTGTGTGTGTGAACAGCAAAAGGGGAGGTGGGAGAAACAATAAGGAAGAGTTTTTATTAAAAGTATGTATACCTAGAAGGAGATTTTATTTTACGGTTTCTGGTGGTGATGTTCTGTGTTCTGGAATCCATTTACCAGAAGAGTTTGTCGGTCTTCTGTTGGAAGTGGAATTGTACAGTGCCCTACTCTCTGCAGAGCCTTGCAGCAAAGGGGTCTCCCAAACCCCAGAGACCCCCAGGGCACCTGGCAGGAGCTGACAAACTATGGCAGAGTCCCAAGTGGTGCGTGTTTTGGTGAGTGATGGGCAGGACAGATGATTCACAGCTGTGGGGCTGTGTTATTGTTTCACCCTCTTGTACTGCTTTTCATAGAAAGTCCCAACTTTACATAATTGTGAGAGCAGCATCTTCTGATGTGACAGGAAAGAAGACATTCCTTGCTTCAAATGTAAGAGTTTAATGTAAGAGTGGAGTAGATAAGTGAACTCTCCCAAGAGTATGGTTTTTTGTTTCCCTTTTTAAATGCTTTTTTGGTACATAAATAATATAGTTTTTTTAAAAAAA